GTTTCTACAAGGAATGTTATATACTTTTATTCTTTGTTTGATCTTGTTTGATTCATTTTACCCCGATTTTCACTCTAAAGTTACATATCGGAATTTAAATCCCTTTTAGTTTTGATACATATATATACAGTATATCAAGGGATTCATTCGAACACATCTTTTTTCATACGTATTCTTTTATATCCTTTCATATGACTTTTATTATGTAATTTTTGTGATATCAAAGAATTAGATGAAACAAGAGATTCATTATATATCAATATGCGCAAAAGATATTCTCAAGGAAACTGATACGTGAATGAATTTACAAATTCGGTAAAATAGATACCATTTCATTTGTACGTATTAATATATCATTATATTGTTTATATTACTTCGTTTATATATTATCGTTTATATTACATCGTTTATATTATCGTTTATCACTCCTTTAATTAACCGTTAACGTTATTCACAATTCCAATTCCCTTTTTTTTTATTCTTTAATTATGTTTTTCTAGAATAACTCATAGGTTGGAATTCGTCAAGAGAATGAAAATATTTTGAAATTTCCAAAAAATGAATGAAAATGCTTTTGAAACAAGGAGTTGACGTTGAGGTGTTTGGAACTTTTTAGGATACTGATTTTTATTATGTAATTTGTGATTATATGGTAATGATAAGTACTATCGCTATCGCATTAATAAAACATTGTCATGTGTGTTTTGTAAAAAAAAAATAAAAACTGTACATATGTACATACGTACCAGGAACATACGTACACGAACGATTGCCTATTATCTTTTTATCTGTCGTACGTACGGAAAGAAATGGAAATATAGGTACATATCGAATATCGATATGCTCTTCAAATCTGCTATGTATCAAACTAATCTTCTATCGAAATTCACCGTGAAAAACTCTTAAAATTCATGATCGTTGCATAATCAGACTATGAAGGCCCTTCCATACATGCAAAGAAAAATTATCAACTTAAAAAAATTTGGGCGTTTTTTCCAATATTAGTTTTGTGTCCTATTTTCATTTCTGTTTTTTTTTTCTCTTGTTAAGGAAATTGCATGAATAAATTCTTTTTTTCTTTGTTTTACGAGAAAATGTTGCATCGATTATTAATTTTGCGGGGAGACTTTTTTTAGTGTACTTATCTCTTATTTCTCTTATTTGATCTTATTTGATTATTTCTCGCGTGTTTTGTTCTTACAATTCTTTTAATTCATGTGCATTTTTCAAATAACAAACTAAATCAGCTAAATCGGAAATTTCTTGCTTTTCTTTTTTTAATTGATTCTTTGTTTTTTTTGTTTTTGTTTTTTTTTTGTAAGAGGAGAGGACTAGACCCAACACATGCTTTTCACAATGTTAAAACTTTAATATTTTAATACTGTAATACGCGGGATAATGCTAAACGGGGAAATGTTCATGATCGGAATTCGCTCTATGAATAGATTTCGTTATTCTCGGTAATGTGTGAATAATTTCTAATGATAGCTATTTGAACTTTAATACGTACGTATTAGCAATGGATTTCATTAACATTAACGCATTATATTTATCTTTATAATAATTATTATTATTATATATTCTTTATATATTCTTTATTAATTGAAAAACTTCTTGTCGATATTAATTTCGATAATAATGTCGACAATAATGTCGATATTAAAAAATCTTATGTTAATAAAAAAATTCAAAATTTTCAAAAAGCAAGGGGATTAGACAGTTCTAGAATCACTTACCTCCTTGATTTCACAAGTTACAAATTCGTAGATAAAACATTCATGTCAGGGTTTTCATTCAACGTTGATCCCTTTCGTTTATTCGATAAAAAAAAACAAAAAATTACCAACAATAGATTTTACTATTATTATGATTATTATTATTTTAAAAAAGATCAATTCCATAACGGATAAGATAGCATATAAATAGATTTTTTATTTATTTATTTATTTATTTCACTAAATTTAAAAAATTTAAAGTTTTTTTTTTACGTCCCTACATTCAAGATCATTTACCTACTTGTTACAAACAAGATAAGTTTATTTTTTTCATGCATGCTTCATTCGTTAATTAGATACATCTTTTTTTTTAAAAAAAATAATAATGTTAAACGTTTCTTTAAATACGTTCATTATCATACAGATATGTTCACCTCTTTTATAAACTCCTTCATATAGGAGTTACTAAAAAAGAAATGTAATATAATGTAATATAGCATGTATATGTTAAACTATAACGGCTGTTTGTTTTAAAACTATATTGTAATTTTATTTGTTCAAATTTAAAGATATTTCACTGCGTCAATAATTTATAGTTTTTATTAAGTAGAAAATAGTAAATACTCTACAAATTAAAATTTCTTATTATCTTTCAAAATTTTATTTTTAGTTCAAGTAACAAAAATTAGACGTAAGTAATGTGTTCATAGATATTTTCATAGATAAAAAAAGCTCAATTTTTATAGCGATAGTTTTTTTCTTGATATATATCAACTTTCGTTTTTTTTTAATTGTTTTAATTTGATACGAATAGCACGTGTTGTTTCATATATATTAAAAGTCACTATGCAAATAATTATTTAAGGAAAAAATACTGATGATTACGACATAAACATTCCAGAACAAATTAACTAGTAATTTCTAGAATATATACAAAAATAATTATCCGTATATATAGTTAGTATAATATTTCAAAACTTCATCGCTTCATTGGGATTATGTAGAGCTTTATCATAATTAAGAATGTTCTCAAGCATCTCAATCAATTGACGCGATATTTATAGAATTAAATACTTGAGCGTACTCTTTCTATTTTTCTTGATCTTCGCTATGCCACCTAAAAACCTAATAAACAGTTTTAGGCCTTCCTTTGCTGAGAAGCTTTTAAATTTACGGTATTCATTATGGTTTGGTTAAACGTTAAAGATGAGTTGAATTTATTATCATTCGTACCAATTATTTGTTTTAAATGTTTCTAACATTAAAAATAAATTTGCCATTTTTTGGATTGGATAGAATTTTATCAAGAATTCGTTGTTAATTGTGTAAAGACTGATTTGTTCATCGAAATGAACAACTTCCTGATATTTGATAACTAATTAATATTCGCCGCTTGTAATTTCAGTAATGATCATTATATATATATATATAAATTATATCACTAATTTATCTTTGCTATGTAAATGACATTTTCAAAATTTTCAAAGCATGTTCGTTCGTTGGAAAAATTGATGACAAGTCGGATATTTCAGATTCAACTGCGGTTACTTCAGGCAAGCTAGGTGTTTTATTTTAAAACCTATTAACAGACTCGCGGGTCTCTTGCATGGGTATAGATCTGATAATTGGAGGGTTAGTGATAACCAAGTTACTGATTATTAGTACTTATTCCTATTTGTATACCCGGGTCTTTTACATTTTACCAAAACTTTATCCCATGTTATAGACCCGGGTATAGTACAATACATAGGGGGTCTGATATCTGGAAGATCTTGTATATGGCAGTTTGTGGTACTTTCATCTACTGTAATTCATCTGATTTTTCCTTTAACTTATATTTTATAATAAATAATATATGTAATATATAATTATTACCTTGATTTAATTCTAAACACAGTTTCAACAAATATTAATACATAAAATAGTTGTTGTTTAGAATTACGTATAATTTATATTTATGGTTTTTTTTAATATAGTCAATATACGTATTCTTGATCATATCGTCTTATATTCGGAACCTTTTTGTAAGTTTTTGTTAAGCTAAATCTTTTTTATTTTTCTAAATAATAATAATTGTAGTCATCCGCCTTAATAAAAGTGATTGTTAAATAAAGAGGGTTATAAAGGAAAAACTGAACAAAGATTCGCGTATAGTATACTCACCAAAATCGTTCCGTGCCTCAGAGCTTTGAGTTTAGTACTATTACGCGAGTTCTGAAACAAATTCGCATATTTTCTCCTTCAATATGTACGTAGTATGCTTACATGTATTTCGTTTCGAATAACTGGTACGTACGTACGTGTGTATGTGTAATTAGCATTATTAGAGATTGATTGACAAATGCATAAACATTAGTGATATCAATTACGTTCGTACGTATAAATACGTTAAGTACGTCGATCAGATTAAATTTTTCGATATACTTCAACAAGAGGTTCCTTAATTTTTATCTAAAAAAATTATTCACATGTACCTCTTCTTGACCTCTTTTAGCACAAAAATTCCTAGAAATGTACGTATCATGAATATTGATTGAGGGTAGATTCAACTCCCAATCTCGAGCAATTTTGCGGTCAGTTTTGTCCTAGCATAAAAGTTTTAAATTAGTGATATCCTTTCTAACATGTTTCACGGTTCTAATCTAATTTATATCCCATCAGACGGCATAAAGGTCACCTGTGCCCAATGGGGCTAGAATCAGAATGGCATAAAGGCTACACAGCGAACATAAAGGTCATCTGTGCTCCGAAACTAGCTTCGTGGACTAGGCATAAAGGTCATTTGCCACGCCATCAATTTTTTGACAATTATTAATAAAAAAAATTTATAATAGATTCGCCCTTTTATATTTATTTATTGGACAAATTTTGTGCCTTTTCACTCCTTGGCCCTGTCCTATCTTTGCTTCCATTCTGATGGGTCGCGATCGAAATAGTGATGCATCTTGTTTGCCATATTTTTCCAGACGGGGTTGATCTGTAGGTACTTGTTTGTGAGAGTGACACAAACTCAAAGGAGACAAACTAAGGTCGGATGTGTTTTTTACTTACCGGCGAAGCAATAGGTAAAAACGAAAAAAAAAAAACTAAAGATGTCACGTAGATCATGATCTACGTGGTACAATAAAATTTTATATAATTTCAAATGACAAAAAAAGCACTTTCGTGAACATTATAATCATATGTGCATTGTTTTATTTTTTATTTTTACATTATTGAAAGATACATATTTGCTAGCTAGTAAACAAATCAAATTTTTTTAATAAATGGTTATAAATGATATTTCTACTTATTTGATGTTTGCCATCTTGACATCTTGATACTAGCGTTGTGAAATAATATTGTAACGAGTTTTCCTTCATTATCCATTTCTAACTCGACATCCTCAAGATCAGTTTTTTGGAATGTAGTCATGGAAATAGAATCTGCAAAGTTAATTTTATATACGTCGCGTTCCTCATCATAAGTGGGATTAAGTGTAAAGAACGGCTTGTCACTATTTACCCCTCGAATATATTCTGCTGAATCTATACGAATTGACATTATCTTGCCAGTATCATTGTAATATACGAGAAGGTCATCATTTGCAGTCTCGGCATAATCATTGGGTTCGTCTGTAAATTTTACCATAAGCGCGTCTGAATCATCATAGTATGTGAAATTCGCAACGGGTCTTAAATAAATACAAAGTTAAAAAAAATGAAAAGCTCCATATTTATTACAAAATTCGAATAACAAATATTGCAAACCTGTCTTTATCGAAGTAATATTTTACCAAGGGTTCTTGTTTATCATGTTCTGTCATTGTCGAGGCTTCTTGTTTATCATGTTCTGTCATGGTTTGTTTATCATGCTAAATATTCATGACAAGATGTGGAATAAGTAAATAAGGATATAAAAAATAAATCAAATCTTTCAAACTTAATCAAAATTTCGTACCTTCTTTTTATGTTTAATTTTTTTGAAAAACTTTCTATATTATAGGTCGGTTAATATTTATAAATACAGAAATAACAAAAAGTTCAAGAAAGCTAGCTTACTTAAACGGATTCATACACATTCCTATCCCAGTACCGATACGCTGAGCAAAAATGCAATCGATTAGTTAGTTGAAAATATTTTAAAAATCGATTACAAATCGATTATTGCTAACTAATCAATTAATCGATTAGTTGATTAGTCGATTAACCGATTAGTTTGTTTAGTTGCCTAATTTATGAATATAAATCTAATACGTAAATTTTATTAAAAAGCCAATTAATGCAAAAGCAACTAGCCAATTAATCAGTTAATCGATTAATAGTTGGGTCAAAATTATTATTGCGGTTTGCAAAAAAATGTGAAATTTGCGGATCAAAAAAAAAAAAAAAAAACGATGATTTCTGATTCTGATTACCAATTTCTTTAAACATATTTTGCAGAAATAAAAGTTGTAGATTCATAATTTTGTAGCATAATTTGATTTAGCATCTTTTGTAGGAATATATTTTGCATACTCTTCATGTTGTAAAGAATTTGATTG